GACACAAACTGATATTTGAAGGTTATAAGAGATACTTATTTATGGGAATTGACAAATGAGAGATTTCCAGGACAATTTGACTTGTATCAGAATGATGAAGAACTGTAGGTATTAACATCTGGGAGGAAAAAGCTCATTAGAAAATTTAAAGGATTATTGCTGAGCATGAGGATCAAAGAGAACATCTTATTTCTAAGGTTTCTCTGGTCTAGGTGGGCCCTGAGTAACAACACCTCCTCCTGGTCTCCACTGCCGGCCTAATAGCATAGATCTGTAGGACTGGAGGAACCTCAAGAGATCACTGGTCCCTCCTTTTGCCAAGAGCAGGATCAGTGTCACTGGTCATTACTTAATCTGTGCTTCACTAGCTCCCATGAGAAAGATCCAAAATGAGCTGGCATCTTCTGCTGCCTACCTGTTCTTTTAAACTCCATCTCTTTTGTTGTCACCAGCTAATCAGCTGATTAATTTTTATTCTGTTTTCAGTGGAGATGGGAAACAATTGATATACCTTGCGCATGTTGGGAGGCGTTTTCTTCCTCTGACCCTGCACCCCCTTTGTATCAAGGGTCTGTGTTTACTGGTGATCCACATGTTTCCATTAAAGAAAAGTAAAAATATTTATTGAGATAATTTGATTACGTTGTTTATGAAAGTGATGGAATTGAGAGAATCTTTATCAAGAACCTCATCATGTGTGATTAACCCAAATACTGAGTACTTGGGTCTCTTAAAAACTGTAGAGCTAAATTGCAGTGGTTGCCTGGGTTACAGTGATTGCTACGATTTATGAAATGTCTCTTAGAATGACATCCATCTGTATGAAAACAGAGACCACACATGATTCACTAAGCCTGTCTTGATTCCTCTGACATTATTGCTTTAAAAATAGGTATGTTAGTGTATAATTTAAAAATTTGTAATCTACCTGAGGTATAAAATTGAAATCAGCAGGTTTTACAATGGTATATGTAGCAAGTTGAAGTACGTTTACTAACACTGTTCTGTGTGGAGACTCCCTCAGATGAATTGGTTGTTATTTAGATACATAGGGAAAAAACCTCACCGTGTTCATGGAAACACCTCTTTTTCCTCTCCGCCTTCATCTTGCTCCTTCACTTTTGCAGTCCAATACATCCTGAGTTCATTAGTTCTTAAAGTTAGAAAGAATGAGCATGCACCTCTTCTCATCATAACTGTAAGGCCCATACAGGTCTCTGTCCCTTGGTTAAGGCATCACCCATTGAATTGCATTGCATCCGTAAATGTTGACTTCAGAACATCCTTTTCAAAGGTGGGTTTTAGATAGCTCATAAGGTCTCCTTTTCTAAAATAAGTTTTCTAGGCAGCTCTGTATTAAAACTCTTGCCATAAAGTATTTTCTGTTTACAAGCCTTATGTAGGTAGTTCTTCAAAAGTTTTAATTGCAACGTTCTTTCTGTAATACATCACAGCAAAAAAAAAAAATGTTGTCACACGTTAGTGTCTGGCTGAAGCTAATGAATATTTGAGCTGCTGTGGCCCTGTTGGCACTTTCTGATGTTGGTGAACTGGCTCACAACTAACCAGGCAGAAAAAAGCTGTTAATTTTTTGCCTGATTCTACTCGCTGAGCCAGGTCAATCGTCCTCTGCAGTTGGTGGTGCCACATAAAGGAGGGGCTGGAAACATGTGGCTGGTGACAGAAGAAAAGGAGTGGAACTCCAGCAGGATTGGGCTGAGCTTGGCTTGAGCTGCTGTGAAACTGCACCACTGGCTTTTCAAGTTTTTTTCTCTTAAACCACTCAGTAGTTTCAGTCTTGAGATCTTTAGCAATAAAATGATGGCTCAGGAGCTGCAATTTCTGAGATAATATCTCTTCATAAAAAATAGTTTTAAAGGTCTTTAGTACTATACCACTTGTCTCAAGCTGAAGTTCCAGGCATATTTTGACAGTTTGCCTACTCACTTATCTTTGAAATCATGATTATATTCAGAGAACTCAGGTTTATTCACAGAACCTGCCTGCAGAAAACATCTCCAAATTCAAAGTAGAATTCATATTCCTTTAACAATTAATTCTATTAATTTCTGTACCTTTTAGCATCCTTGTGCGAAAGAGCTAGTCAGTTGCCTATCTCCTGCTCAGAACTGTTTTACACTTGAAGGAAAAAAATTAGCCTTTTAAAATTCTACAGCTTTCTGGTGTTGCAATAGGATTTCTTTCGTGGCTCCTTCCTTGTAAGAACATCCATTAAATTGTAGTGTCATTTATTAACATAAATAAGAGAATACTATCCACAACAACAGATCCCCTAAATTTCATTGATCAAATGGAGAAAATTTTACAGCTCTCAAAAAATGGCCATAGTGACTGTTGTCAGAGACGGAATTGTGCAGTCTTTCTGTGTTTGTGATTTGCTAGTCCTATATCCCTTGAGCAATAGCTCATGGACTTGGGCAAATGAAGCTAATGGCAAATATATTCTTTCCATGGACTGCTTATACTCACCTTCCCAAGCAGGCACTCTCCAGTGTGCAAGACATTTCAAAATCAGAGTACCTGGTACCGTTTCCATGGGTTTTTTTGAATGTTTCTTTGTTTCTGACCATCACGTGTTCACTCCTAGTCATTCACCAGATTAATGCATTACAGATTCTTCTGCTGTCAGTTCTGACAGACACTGACACCAGCCCTTGCCATTTCTGGGACAATTTCAGCAATGTGGGCAGTGATACCATGCCTTTGTCTCATACTGCCAGGCATTTCTACATTAGGTTCAGTAGCTTCAAAGTTTTGACTAGGTGAGAATGCAACCTCAGTTTTCCTGTCATACCAACGTAACCTGGCAGTCATTATGTAAATCCTATATATCTCATAGTGATCATGCAGAATATGGTATGTTTCCTCTGTGCTCTGATCTAAGGTCCCCCAAGAAAAACTGGGGAAGTGCTTTTGAGCAACTGTGCTATAGTTTGTTTGAAACAGTTCACATCTCATTTCCCTTCTGTGTCTCATATCTATCTTAGGGTCCTACAAGGCTTGTGTCAGCCTTGGTTGATGGAGAGGTATGAGAGCAAAGTGTAAAAACAGTGGACATCTGACAAGTAAAAATGAACGGTCATGCAATATATTTTACTGGGATCAGCTCAGTTGTGGTATCCCAGGGAAGGATATCTTTCCTGTTGTTGGCAGGGTGGTTGTGCTGAGGCATCAGAGCCTGAGAGCAGCTGTTGGCCTTGCACTATGCTCCTACAATTGCCCTTGACTTGCATCATTGTCCAAGTAGAGAGAAATATGGGAAGCAAAGTAAGACCTCAAATAGAGACTTATGGATAAAATGTGCGTGTGTGTGTATGCCCACATACAAAAATAAGTATTTTCTTAAAAATTTTTAACACTTAATGATGCACCTGTTGTAGGACTTTTAATGCTATTTGAAGACGTTTATATCAACTTAACACAAATGTATTCAAACCTTTTAGGCAATAAAAAGCTCTGTGCAAAGGGCTGATCCTTTGAGATTGGTGATAAAGGAACATCACGAAAAGAAACCATCCAACTGCTCCCTTGGCAGAAGCACAACACCGACTGGCAGGAGAACACCTCACCAGGGAAGACTGACACCTTTTGAACCAGAAAAAGTAAGCCAGTAGCAAGGTCTATTTAGACTGCCCTTATTTTCTTTTTACAGTGCCATTCAGAAGCTGGATGGGGACCATGATCCCCACATAGCTGCTGCTTGGTCTTCTTTCCCTGGTACTGCAGGGTTTTTGCCAGAAATTATATTACAGACTGTTCGTACATTGAGCTATTCAGGCACCTGGAGGCCAGAGCATGGGTGAATGCTTTGAAACCTGCTGCCCCTGCCCTCAGAAAAAGTTCAGAGGTGATCACATGCACCAAGCACCGGGGCATCCCACGGCCAGTGGCTCCCTGGGGGCCAGGGCCTGGGAGCACTGGGTGCAAAAGGGGCCTCCCGAGGGGGTCCAGGGGCAGGGCCCATCCCCAGCCAGGGAGAAGGGCAGGCCGGGGATAGGTGTCAGGGTCAGGCCAGAATCCCAATCGTCAAAGCCCGTAGTGATGAGGTAGGTCTGGGGTTACACCAGGAAGTCGGCCCATGGGTCGGGCTGGGGTTCGGATCAATGAGGTGCATGGTCAGGCACAGGTATGGCTGAGATGCAACTCAACAAGGACCAAGTGCAAGAGCCACAGCTGAAATGCAGCTGCCAAGAAAAAGGGGTGGGGGTGGAGGGGGCTGTCTCAGGCTTCTTCTAGCTCTTTCACCCACATCTCTTTCTTCACAACAGTATGAACCAAGGTTAGGTACTTGCACCATATCAGCAAGCTGGTCATGCGCACAGGCAGCTAAACTCCTAGAAAGGGGAAGTGCACTTCGGCTATGTCACTGATAGGTCCCATGTTACAGTGAAGCATGACTGTATGTCAGGGCCTCTCCATTTTGCTTCAGGTTGTACATCAACACTCTCCTACTGGGAGAAGAACAGATGATAAGAAATCCCCTGGAGCTGTCTCACATCTAAGTGGTTTTAAGGAGCCTAACTCATCTTCCTGTGTAAAAGGTAAGATTCGTGGTAACTTTTTGCCTGCATAGAGTGGTCTGCAAACGACTTGGAGATGCTGGTCCCCAGCTCTTGGCTCACAGGTAATATGTTGTCACTAAAACTCTCCTATAACACTTTGAAGAATTATAAAATTTGTATTTTACAAGAGAAGGAGAACACACTGTGCTGTTGCTTGCAATTTATTCATTGAGTTTGTCATCGTGGAAGCCCAGAAGGGGGAGAACGGGTGCAGTCTGCACTTCTCTGGCCCAAAACAAAGCACCTTCAGGAGGATGGGCAAGCTGTTAACAAACATTATCAGCATAAAAAGCAATGTGCTACAAGCATCTGAGAGCTAGCATCTTTTAAAAAACTTCTGAAATAGATGCGGAAATATCTGATTTAGCAATTTTCATATGCTTTCAATGACTCCTTTTTCTTTGCTTTTTCTCATAGGCAGGTCTTTGCCCATTTCAGATAGCTCAGAAGACATGACCCTCTCACATAACCACAGCAACAACACTTGCAGCTTTGAACTCTACAGTAACAATGAAGAAACAGAGGTATTTCACAATACAACTCTATAAAATAATTCAGTGAGTCTGTGATCTCAGTTTTCATATACAGCATGCTAATGCCCATTTAGCTGGGAACAATACTGGCTTTATTTTCTTGCCTCTACTCGTGACAATATTGCAGTGGCTTACAAATAGTATAGCAGATTTCTTTATCAAGATATTCCTGCACAACTGTTGGACATTAAAAATTTATGTTGCTAGTTAACGTTTTAATTTTGGCTCAGGAAGAAGAGAGTCTTAACCTTAAAAAGACAGAAAAATTGCTAAAACCTCAGAATAAAGTTGCTTTTGTGACCACACACAGGAGAAGTGGCATAACTAAGCATGACAACAAATTACCTACAGACAGTTGTCCTGCTTTTCTGGATGCTGAAGCAAAGGTTTGAGCAACTTACGGTTCTGGGTCTTCTATGATTAGCAACTGTCTTCCTTCCATTTGTGAACTGAAATAAAACACACCAATAAAAAGAAAATCCTTCATGCAATGAACACAGAGATTTAGGGATGCATCTGGCAACTTCAGGCACTGTGTTTACAGCTATTTACTGGAGCATATCATTGCCCTGTGGGAAGCAGTACTCCCTGTTCCTTTGGATCCCACAATTCAAAATGCATCACATCTTCAAACTGTAATTAACATTAGTTAGTAACTGTTCCGGATGCTATGTGCCAGATGTCAGTTAACTTAAGGCTCCTTTATGCTGACAGACAGTGCAAAGAACACTCATTGTAATGGTAAATTGGATGTGTAACATCCTGAATAGCACTTAGTTACATAGTTAGCATTACCTACAGCTAAGAACCATGTAATTTGTTTTAGAAGAGTGGATCTAGCTAATACAGGTACCTTTCTTTGCAAATCAGTAAGCCAATATTCAGAGATAGTTCTGTTCTTTGTTCCTGTGTTTAATCTCTCCATTTCTTATAGTGTAGTTTTGCCAGAATGCACTCTTTTCTCCTCATTTTTGGACTTTCTCTATGCTGTCTTTTGCTTTGCAAACTGAAATTAATTGGAGTTAAAGTGCAACCTTCCTAGTTAGGACTAAAATACCAAAATTCATTACAAATGCAAGGCAATAACAGAAAGAAGGGCAACTTACCTCTGTGTTTGTGAAAGTAAATGTTTTTTGCATAGCTGATTAAAATTAATGAAAATATGTTAAAAACATTTCTATTTATACAACACTGACTGTGATGTTTTCACAATATAGCCTCTAAAATCAATATTATCTAGAAGATCAGTGCTATATCAAGAAAGAAGAAAAATTGAGGAAGAGGTGCAGGAAAAAATAGAGCATCAGGATGGAAAGGTGAGGTAAAATAGGATGCAAAAGTACTTGAAGAGATCACCGATAGGACTGCAGTATAGATGGGAATCACTGCTTCAAGTAGCCTGAGACAATTATGCCTCCAATTAAGTAACTGCACCTTAAAGGAGAGCTGAAGTGTAAAGTTCACAACCTGAATGGTAGAAAATATGTATGGCTGATGGGCTGGAAATCAAGTAACCAAATTATCTTCTTATCTTCCACATGGATTTGCTCTATGACTTTTACCAAGTCCTTTTTGTTTCAGCTACATCATTTGCGGGCTGGGAGGCATGATATGCTTACCGTTAGAAATGAAAATGTGCTAGTGGGATAGTGATGGTGTTTTGTCATGCAAGACTAAAGGCCATTCTTTTGTTTCCTTGGAAGTGAATTTAAAGGCAGTGAGCTGTGCCAGCTGGACACCATTTGTGGGAGAGGTCTTTCGTTACACACAACTGGCTACACATGGAGTGGCATCAGCAGAGTTGTGCTTGATGCACCCAGCCTGTCCAGTTTGCTCAAGCCACCTGTCAAAATCCCCAGTGATTCCCCAGCTACATCTCGAGATTGCTTCCAGCTGCCCCTTGTCCTGAGGCTCATAGTTCAGTGTGGCAGCTGGTTTTGCCCTTTTTCTGGAAATCTCTGTCTTCCAGGAGGGGCTGAGTGGGCAATTCTTGCTGGCTTCCCATTGTGTCTCTGCACTGCCTGCCACCAAACTGGATAATTTGTTCCTGAGTGGCCATATCACCTTTCCTGCACAGCACCTCAGGAATGATCTTGAAAGGCTGATTCTGTAGATGAGTCTATGCATTGGAAATTTGGTGCACTGCTATTGGGAAAGGTTGTCAGCAAGGTGACCAAGTGGGCTGGTACTAGTTTCACTGCTCATAGACAAGGGCTCTTTCCAAGAGTGTCACTGCTCATCTGGGCCAGATCTGAACTCAGTCCCAGATGTCTCTTCAATGACACTACTCCAAGCAGGCTTATCCTGTTAAAACATTCCCTTGCTATTAACTGAGGGTAATCTATGCCCATTTACAGTTGCCAATTCTGGGTAAGGCTTTTGGCTAGATAAAGTTAAGACAGTAATTCAGTTTCTGTGTCTGTTTGGTTCTGGGCTTCTCTTCTCACCCTGCCGATACAGGCATTGATTAATGGTACCTTCCGCTGAGCAGTCATAGAAATGGCTTTTCCAATATAAAAGTTGTTCAGGGAATACTGGTTTGAGATGCCAATTCTTTTATAGCTAATGCTGAGATGGGGTCTGTGAAAGCTTCTACCAATCACAATTCGCTTTCATAGAAGTAGAAAATACAGTATCTGTTGTTTTGATCCTCAAAAGAAAACTAATTGTGAAAAAAAGTTCACTCTGACATTTTTCCCACCAGATTTTATTAATAAAATTGAGTGGTGGGTTGAACTTTCTTGTGCAACTAGACAGAGAGGTCAAAGTGGGGACTGATGCCCTTAGAAAGAGATATTAACTCTCATTTAGACTATGTGGAACTTCTTGTAGCAATGCCTTTTGTCACGGCCTTCCAGTATCTGAAGAGCACCTACAAGAAGGCTGGAAAGGGACTTCTTACAAGGACATGTAGTGACAGGATGAGGCGTAATGGCTTCAGACTGGAAGAGGGTAGATTTAGAATAGATATTAGGTAAAAAAAACTTCACAATGAGAGTAGTGAGGCATTGGAACACGTTGCCCAGGGAAGTTGTAGAGGCCCATTCCCTGGAGGTGTTCAAGGCCACGTTGGATGGGGCTTTGAGCAACCTGGTCTAGTGGCAGGTGTCCCTGCCCATGGCAGGGGCATTGGAACTAGATGATCTTTAAGGTCCCTTCCAACCCAAACAAAAATTCTTACAAAAAAAAAAAAAAAAAAGTAGGTGTAAGACCATCTTTCCATTACTAACTAGTAATTTTTAAATAAAGTAATTTCTAAAAAACTAAAATCTTGCCCTCAGTAATCATTACAATGCCTGTTTGGGCATACCACATTTCTCTTTGCCCAAGCATATTTATTCTTTCTTGGCTTGTTTTGTTTGGGAGGTATTCCCTTTTTGTGGAGGGTGTGTTAAAATTTGAGGCATATGGCAGAGCTATAGGGCACCTTCTGGTTTTTCTCTTCGTTGGACTTCTCCAAATGAACTATATTATGGGATTTGATACATGGTGAACAGAACCAGCTGCCATAGCAATTCCAGGAAAATTGATTAACCAGAGGCTATGGTAGGTATGAAGTCTTCTTTGACCAATGTATTGTTTGTAAAAGAGCACACAGATGACATTATTGCCCCTGTTGTTAAGAAGTCTTCAGCAATTCTGCGGATCTCTGCATGCAGCCACATTTAATTCTGTAGTACTGAATGTCCGTACAGGCTTATGTTACTTGGAATAAAATGGTTGTTAACACATGTCAGCAGTCTGTGTTAAAATATCAAGTTTAATCATTTTGGTTCACACAATCCAGAACTGGGGTCTCCTGAGTGACTTGGAATGTGTAGCAGCATATATGAAATTAGTACAGAGAGTAACTCACCAAAGTCAGTCAAGGAAAAACCTGAATGGCTTCCTTATTGCCACAGGGCTGTGTGTGAGCCTTACCTCGCTGAACAGAAAAACAAGTTGGTGGGGTGGGAACTTGGGCCGAGTGCTTGAAGTGAGTTCATTTTTTGAAAAGAAAATTACTTTAGGTCTCTTTTACACCCAAATGAGGCAAAAATAACGTACCTGTACTGCAGAGATAGCTTTTCAAATACAAAGGTATAGCGTGACTTAATTCAAGCTCCTATTTAATTGGAATGCAATGCAATGTTATTCATGTCCTTTAACTTAATTTACATTAGAAGCTCTATGTGTTTGAAGGTAGAAGAGGTGCTTACTGATGGACGTCGAATCATCACTTTCCGCAATGGTACTAAAAAAGAGATCAGTGCCGACAGAAGGATGACTACCATCAGCTTTTCCAATGGAGATGTAAAGAAGATCATGCCAGATCAGAGAGTGGTGTGTAACTTTTTTTTTTCTTCAAGGAAAATTAAATGATTAAGCGATTTTCCAACAAGGTCCCATCATTTATCTTGATCTGTTAGTTCTGGGAGAAATTGATGAAGGTGTTAGTTTAACAACCCTGAGTGGTGACACTGCTTCATCTACAAGGACAAAAGTGGAAACAGATGAAGGTAACAGTCAAAGGAACAAATGGGTAACTGGCCAAACAGTTTAAAGGAGACTGAAAGAAGGCGAAGGGCAGGGGCAGCCATCTGAAGCAAGGACCAGTTTTTATACATTTGTAGGTTTGGTAGCCCAGGCGGTACTTCCCTCTTGGCATTATGTAAATATAAATAGTTAATAATAATGTGAGCTAGACTGGAAATAAGTGAGGCTTTGGCAGCAGTGGGACTATTTTAAATTAATAGTGCATGGATGGGAGCCAAAGCAAAGAGATGGGAAGATGACTTTCATGCGTGAACTGCTGTCTTGTACGCTACAGAGATGAAAGAAACGACATCTAGACACAGCTATGAGGAGGGTGGTGAATGAGAGGAAGGAACAGAAATGCAAACATAGCTGCTTTTATGGATGGAACATACAGAAAATGACCTTGAAATGACTTTTTTAAGATGGCTTATTTTTAAGCACATTGTTATGGTTGAATCTGCTTATGCAAATATTGTGAACATGCTGCAAACACTTCACTCTCCTTCCAGATTTATTATTATGCAGATGCACAGACAACCCACACTGCTTATCCAGATGGCCTGGAGGTGCTGCAGTTCCCTAATAATCAGATAGGTATGCAAGAGCTCATAAATGTGAACTACATGTGCAGGAAGGTTTCTATTATGAAAGTGTCATCTGATTCTGACTCCAGCAGATTGTGTTTTTTCTTCTCTATTTGCATTGTCTTTGCATTTGACTTCCAGTATGTTCCATCACTTTACTGCTCAGTTTCCTCCTACAAAGCAAAGATAATAATGGGGTGTAAATGCCTCTCTTCTAATTTTGATTATCTGATTATTTGATTCTTTAATTTCTTTAGCAGTATGCTGGATATCATTTCCATCCTCCCTAAAACATCCAAAAAATCTGATCTAGCTCTGTGTAAAGCAACATAAAAGAATGCTAGATAGACTTTTTACATCTTTTCCACAGAAAAACATTATCCTGATGGCACACAAGAAATTGTGTTCCCAGATCACACAGTGAAACGCCTGTATAGTGACGGATTCAAGGAAACTTTTTTCCCAGATGGTACAGTAGTAAAAGTAGAAAAGTAAGTCTCACGTTAACGACAGGAACCAGGAATTGGGCACAGGTACAATGATACTGACATTTAAAACTGTGATTGGTTCTGCATGGCTGGGAAATTTCCAGACAAAAGGAGAAAGGGTTTGTAAAATAACGAGGGTTTTGCTACAATGAGGCATTGAAAATTGTTCACTTCCACCCTGGATGACAGATGACCATTTATCACTGGCAAAGTGACTGTGAAATATTCCTTATTTGTTTCCATGTAACTTTACACTGGCCAGGGTTGCTGGGAGATCACCAGTTGTCTGTGTTAACAATGTGGATAGTAAGGGACTCAGGATGAGGACTCCTGAGCTCTATTCCTAGCTTTTTGGCTCCCTTTCTGATCTTGGGCAAAGCATTTCATGTATTATCTCTCTATTCCTCCATGTAAAATGAGGAAAAATAACAACAGGACTTTCTTACACATGCCTCTCCTGGGCTTAGGGAGGATCCTGTTGTAAAATAAAATCCTGCTTGCAAAATGCCTTGAGATCCCTGCATGAAGAATTAATGTAAAATGCAGATCCCACCATCCGTTAGGCATTATACTATGTACTGAAGTACCTTTGTATTAAAATCTTATTGTGAGATCAGATTTCTAATGCCATCCCATGCAAATTTTGAGGTGAATTATAACCTGAGAAAGTTGTCACTTGACATCGTTTTTCACTTTCGTTGTGTCACATCAGACAGCTCAGTGAGATAGTTTAGTAACAGATAGTGCCCTCTCATCACTTCATTCATTGCTATTTCTTTCAGGAATGGAGATAAAATCGTGGTATTCAGTAATGGCCAAAAGGAGGTTCACACTGCGCAATTCAAAAGGCGGGAGTACCCAGATGGCACTGTAAAAACTGTGTTCTGCAATGGCAGACAGGAAACCAAGTACTCCACTGGACGAGTTCGAATCAAAGATGAGGATGGTAATATTATCCTAGACAAGAAGTGATTCCTCCCCTCAAAGGGCTGTGCTGTACGTAAGTTGCTGAATCCATTTCCCTGGAACATCAAAACCATTAGGAAAATTTAAGCCTTGTGAAAATGAATGGATGGATCTGTAGGGCTGAAATTTACTTTGGTTTGGTGACTGGTGCTCAGTTTGGAATAAACTTACCGAAATGAAATGTCTCTTGAGTGAGACTTGACGGAAATGCAGTAATGCCCTCTTTGTTTATGTAACATTAAAATAAATGTCCATAGTACTTCTCATCAAAGTGTTTTTTTCATGATACTGACCACACTTCCCCTTGTTTTTCTGCTGGTTAGTGACAAAATGACTACAATTAAGGAGCATGGCATAAGAACCTCAAACCTAAAAGCTTTTCGAATTTCAGTTCAGTGCTGTCTGATGCTGACTAAAACAAAAAACAAAAAATGTGGATGTGATTAATGTTTTCACTTTGGTTGGGTTCTTTGGAGCAGAATATCCCAGCATGCATCAGGCCTTATCATGAGCTGTACAGTAGACCAAAACCTGAGCAGGAGTTCAGTGAACAGTCACACCTCTGCATGTCTCTTCTGAAGTCAATTATTCAATAATTATATGATCATAATCTAAGAACTCTGTCTCGTGCATTTGAAGACAAAATTGAATGTTTATTCCACCCTGGTCATTACTCTGGATGAAACAGACTTTTTTTTTCCTCCAGCAGTCTTTCCTCAGACCTCCTCTGTGTTGCTTTGTTTTTGAATCAACCTCTCCTGCTACTGCCTTTATTCTTCCAGTAGTGGAAAAATGTTTCTGGTCAGTGAGTCTCTCCAGCTTCAAGGCTCTTTGGATTGCACTTGGTACCTAAGGGGGTTAATCATTTATCAGATGCTGCTTTCAACTGCCTTCCCTGTAGACTGCCTGTCCATCATCTGTCTCGAATTTTTCCAAAGCACTGAAGCATTTCCCCTGTAGAGCTCAGCTCATCACCTGCCCATTGACTGAGAAGACCAATTATCTCCTCAGGCCCTTCAAATTCCTGTAGCAACAAACACACTTTCATAGCATGCTGCTTTAGCCGTTTGTCACACCTAAGTGCAAAATAATTGCAAGATTATGGAAGTGCTTTTTCTTCTCTTCAGTTTCTAGTGGGTCAGACTGTGGACAAATCACTATTCAAATTACAGAGCATCTTTGGAAGAAATAGATTGAATAGAGCAAGAAGCGTTGCTAACATTGCCCATACACATGCTGGGGCTTATGAATTTAACTATGATGCCCTGAACATCCATGCAGTTTAATGTCAACTGGTGTGATAATAAAATTGCATTGTTTTTCCTTTACTCCTGTATAACAAAGGAACAATTTATAAACCTGTGTTTTCACTACTGAAATGTTTAGTATATTTTATGTGTTTTGTAAAAGGAAACTCTAATTAAAAGTCATCCAAGAGATCACTTTTTTCCATGTGTTTCACTAAGAGTTTCAGTTCTGTGCTGCCTTATGCTGACTAGAAGAAATCTACGTTTGTTTTGTTTTCTCTGTTAAGCATCATGAAAAAAAAGTGAATGTGATTAATGCTGTCATTTTGTCTGGGAAACTAGTGTATGCTAGTGTTTTGTAAAGGACCACTGTTTTTATTCCCAGGAATTCCTTTTAACAAAAGGTCCCTGTTCTCAAGTTAATACACTGACATTCTCTTTGTTTCTATAGTAATACAGAAAATGGGCTTTGTTTGCAGCTTTTAGCCTTAAATCACTGTTTGCCATTCAATAACCTGTGTATATAATCCCTTCTAGTTGAAAATTAAATAAGGAACTATTTCGTATGCTGCGTGCTCCTTGCTTCATTAAACACTCTCTACTGCGCTTGCAGGAAGCGTTCTGATTCTGGACTAATTAGGCCTGCAATCCCGCACAGGTGGAACACATGGGGGATATGTGCACGTCAGTCTCTAAAAGTGCACGCGTGCAGACACGCATGTGTGCAAACATCTTGCGAGTGTATGCATTCACCTTGCTGGTGCATGCATGCGCCTTGTCAGCACCTGCTTGCAGGAAGATCGTACTGGTACGTAAGCGTGGGTCTGGTTCTACTTTCTGCAAATCAACGGCGAATCTTCCATTGGTGAAATCAAAGGGTGAGACTACTGAGCATTTCACAGTACTTCTGTCAACCAGTGTGTGGCCACCGTATTTACCAAGACATGTTTTTCAAGTAATATTTGATAGTGTAATAGCAAAGGGATTCTTGAAATCGGCGACACAAGTTTGATTTGAAAAGGAGGAGACAGAAAAACACCTATGTAAACGACAGCTCAGTCAGGTGTGTTATAACTGGGAGTCCTTCACAGACCCGTTATGACACATGCCACATTATTTTTCTCAGGCTGAGACTCACATCCTATCTCCTCTACCTTCCACTTGCGTTAGGTAGCCAGAAGCAGTAATGGCTCTACCAGCTATAGTTCATTGTTGTAGGAACACAAACAATCCAGTTTAAGCATGACTGCATATGTTCTTAAACTGTAGCAATACACATACCTACTTTATTGTGGTTTTTGTTCTAGAGGCTTTATAGCGAACAAAATCTTACGAATCCTTCAGGGAGATGGAAAGAACACAGGAAATCCCACTTCTCATCTTTCCACGGGTTTTCTGGCATTAGCGGAAGAATGCTAAAGCCAGTGTTTGGCCTCAGTTTTGATTCAAATTTAGAATACGCTGTGACTTCTGAACAGCGTTACTTCCGTTCAAACAGCCAGGGGCAGCAAAGATGTACAAGGGAAGGGTGGTATTTTGACCACCATCTCAAATGTTTCAGTTCAGTGTTTTTCCATGCACAGCTGATCACCAAAGTTTTATTGCAAGCAAAACAAAGCTGCCTAACCACTGTACCCATCAGGTGGCTAATGCAGAGTCTGCGAAAGAGAGGTTTGATCAGTCTTCTGAACGTGATATTTCCAGTTTGTATTCTGCCCTCTCTTACCTTGGGAAGCCTAATTATTTCTCTATTAAGAGTTTATCTGAAACAAAACACTGGAGCAGTATAGAGATTTTTTAAAAATTACTTTCCACAAGAATTTCTATGGAACCCTACTGGTCATAAAATGAAAGTTATTCCATACTGTTGTTTCTTACAATGCAAAATTAATTTCTGGAAATGAATGTCGGGAAACTCACTAGATTCTTCAAAAACATGATGGTCTTGCATCATTTATATTACCTGCACCTTTGTAAACTGAGTGCATGTAGAATACTCCCTGGTGTAAAGTGACCAGTTTTTCAAGTCATAAAGCCCCTTAGTTAGGAAAAGAAAAGAACAAAAGATCATTGAGAAAAATAATAAACAAAGACGGGCATTTCTGAGGATGTTTTGAGAAATAAAATTCTCCATTTTTATTCTGGGATTACTTTAATGTTTCAAGAATTACTTTAAAAAATTAGTCAGTACTTTAATTTTAGAATATAACCTCTTATGGTAATTGCTAAATTACAATTTTTAAATTGTGTATTTCTTGAGTTATCTCTCTAATACAATTTCAGTGTGCATCTACCTCCTTCAAGCTAAAGTTGTCATTTACAATATGTCTATATAACCTAACATCATGAAGTTACAGAGAAGTTAAACAGCCCACCCTTTTCTTCATGTTCTGTGGTTTTGATGGTAACTGTTTGCTCACTAATTTTTTAATTTCCCTTATGATGCTCTTTACATCTGTCCCATCCCGGGAAGCTTGAAGTGCAGCTTCATTGAAAGGAAAAATAAGGACAAAATCTCCTACCCGGGGGATAGGCCTCTGGTCTTTATCTGAGAGGAAATAGGGGGTTGTGGTTAACTTGTAGCTGCAGAAGTTGGGTGTAGGTAACCAGTGGCTGAGTTGGGCAGACTTGTGTGGAGAACGCCCAGGTCCTAGGAGTTGTTTATTTTTAGCTTCAGCTTTTGCTTGGGAGGGTGTTGTTGGCATGTTCATCCTTTCTCGCAGCTGGGAAGTCAATGTTTTTCTTGGATGTGGTCTGGCAGTTTTCTTTCTCTTACGAATTGACCCTCTTGCAGCCCGCAGGGCAGGCTGGACAGAAGCAGCAGAAGTACATTTAGCTTCTTTTTGGCAAGTGAGTAAGCCAGGAGCCTCCCCGGCGGCACTCTCACCAGCTGTGCTCCAGGGCACCTGCCTTCTGCCAGCCTGTGTCCCGGCCACTTGGTTTCGCCTGAAAGTGTCAATCTGTTTGTAGTTCAGCAGTTCAACAATATCGTGAAGAAGTTTTCTTTTCACAGTGTCATCAATGGAACAGTCTAAACACAAGGCCGGATTGTAGTTGACTTCTAAAAGCCATGGCTTGAATTTGTCATCAATCAGGATGTCAAAGCCAAAGAGCTCAAAGCAATTGGAAGCCACTGGTAAGGGGGTTACGGCAAGCAGGGTGAGAATCACTATGTTATTGATCTTCCGCCAAAGGAGCACGTCATCAACCCCAAATATTCGAAGGTAAGAGCGAAATTTGCTGAATGTCCATTTGCAGCCACAGCCAATCCCTTCTTTATATTTTTTATAGGAAGCCCCGCATTTGTTGATGCTGGTGTTTGTTAGGTGGGCACAGACATTGTCCAGAGAACTGAGGTCAAACTTTTCAGTGGCAAACCTCACCAGTCCTTCTTCGTAAGTGTAAATGGTGAGGGGGCAAAAACTGGTGACACACACATAAAGGCGCAGATCCAGTTTATACCCTGAAATGAGCAATGGGTTGCTAATGTACTTCTGCACAATGACTGTACAGTCATATACTAAGTCTTTAATGTCTTGGAAAATGAGTATGCCCCTTCCACGGGACAGATCCACAGGCTTGCAAATCCAGTAGCCAGGTCTTCCGCCTACGGACTGTCTCTCCTTGCTGTATTCTGCTACAAATTTGACATAGTCATTGGGCATGATGAATGCCACTGGACTAAATTCATACAGAGCTGATCCATATGCTCCTTTCATACGTTTCAGATGCCGTGCCAAATAGTCTTTTCTGGTGATC